CAATTTGCTTGGCTTGTTTGCTGAACTAGTGACTTAAAAAAAATGGCTGTTGAGTTTTAACTTCTAAACTCTTATAAAGAGTATACTATACGCTGTCTTGTCTCAGATTATTAAACTTAGAAGTCCAATAAACTGTTTACAAAAATGCTTCTCTATGTGCATCCATCCGAGTTGTCCTTCGCAGATGGCTTGCAATTAAATGGTTACGAGCTTTGCTAGATCAGTTCATTCCGCTTCAGCCTCTTGAAGTGCGTTGGGCACTGGCCAATTTGCAAAATCAAATGTCACGTTGTCGCCCATGAGCATAAAGGGTGCCCATTGAGAAATTTTGTCAAAGCCGTTATGACGCATCCAATCCCTGGACATGTGGAGGGATTCACTGGCACTTTCACCGCGGAGCAAATGTTTGTAGAAACAAGTCATGAACTGCTCTGTGGCTGTGTCATCCAGGGCCCATCTAGCCGCTAACACCGAGCGAGCACCGGATCCCACAAACGCTCGGGCGATTCCAATCACTCCCTCGGTTCTAATCTGTCCACGAGCACTGTGGCAACAACTAAGCACCACTAGTTTAGCTCGCAGCCGAGCTTTTGAAATATCCGCCATCGTCAAAAGGTAATCTTCTTCTCGAGGAAAAGGTGGGAGTAAGGTAAGGTGCTCAGGAGAAAGAGCAATCTCTCCTCTTTTGGCATCACCATGTGCAGCAATGTGTATCAAGCTCACTGAATTTATCGCTTGGAGTGCAGCATGCTTCGTCGCGGACTTTCCAATCAAAGGCGTTACGCCAAGAAGTCTTCCAATCATTTCTGCTTCCTTCCTTGCACACAGCAATGGTGTTATGATTCTACGCTTTTCCTTGTAAATTACAGCTCCAACCTCAGGGTCACCCACTATCAGAGCCCCTGTCTGAATGTGATAGTCTGGAGGACTGTTTTGAACATACTTGAGAGTCGTCAGAGAGGAAACCATCCGTATTTTGCATGTCTCTGATAAATACTTACCTCCTTCGTCAGCCAAGGCTGCAAATGGCACTTGGTACGTACAGGAGTCAGGAACAATAATGATCTCGGGATGCTTCAGTAAACTGGCCACAGGAGCGATGATTATCTTGTAACAGAAGTAAAGATTTGGTTTGAAATCGTTGGCATCATGGTCCTACAAGACTTCCTGGTTGTCGCAGTACAGAGGCCTCAGTTCGGTGTCATCCAGAGATCGATCCTCTAATTCTGTTCGGGTAAAATGGCGAGGCTGCGGAAGCTCTCTTAAAAAACTCATCTAAATCAGGAACAAATCCGGTTATAACGTTTGCTTCAAGGTTCACTGTCTTTTCCGTAAAATGAATAGCGCCCATTGCTTTGAGAATCCAAAACCGTACATCATTTTTACCAACCGAAATGTACAGGCATGCACAGTCTGCTTCTCTTTTGATAATCTCTTGGATGCCACGCCAAGATTGTGGATTGCCTGAAATCTGCTCTTGAACAGAGTATCGAGCGGCCATCATGTCGGCTAGGCCTCTTGCCCGTCTCAGCTCTTGGACGTAAAGGGCGTCCTCTGCCTTTCCAGAGGAAGAAAGCAACTTACTGAACAATTTGTAGGAGAAGGTGCCGTGTTCCTCTAACAGGGATGTTTGAAACTGATCATTGTCTTTAAGAGAGCCTCGCAAAGTGTCGAATACCACGATGCTTTGAAAAAGATACAAAGAGGCTTCTTCAAGATGAGATTTGGACACCTTTAACACCGATAGACTACAAAAGCATTGAAACTCCTTCAGTTTGTGTCCAATATCCCTGCTTAATAGGAGAGCCTTCTTGATGTATTCTTCGGCCATATCATAGTTACCGAGGGATTGGAAACACAATCCTAAATTGTTGTAGTTACCTGCTACTCCTTCTCTGTTCCCGATTTCTATAAAAATTGCAATGGCTTTCTTGTGATATTCTTGCGCCTTGTGATATAAACGACACTGATGCACAATGATCCCGAGGTGTCCGTAATCTACGCGCCTCAACTATCATCGACTATCATCAATTAGTATATACTAAAACAGTGGATAGCGTTGAAGGCGCGCTGTGATTGGCTAGTCAAATTCCGAATATCCAATGCTATTTACCTCCGCGAGCAACTTAGCAAAAAAATGGCTTCGCGGTTTGCATCCGTGGCAATGTAAGAAATCACTCAAATTAACAACGAAGCAGTCCCTGAAAACACAAAGGAAACGACTAAATTTGGTTTCGCCGTGTTTAAAGGCAATGGTTTAAATTTTTTACCCATAATTCATCGATGAAAACCAATGAGAAAGGTTTTGTTTACAAATGCAAATTAATCTTGCGCGGCTTGTTGTTTCAGTCCTTTCCGCGCGGGAAAATGTTGGAATGTATGAATTAAAATCAATTTTTGGTGGTGTATATTATCTCACTGTTTTAGTAT